TATTACTTTGTTGTTTCAGCAACATTAAATTTAAAAACTGTACTTTTGAGTTAAAATATATATTTATAATTTTAATAAATGACAAATTAAAAAAGCATTAACATTTTTTTGTATCGAAAAAATATCGAACCCTGACACCAAAGTATCAACCAAACCGTGAATTTTGTGTATCGTCGCACCCCTAACAAACATGATAAATATAAGCTGCAAGGCAGTGGAGCAATCACCTTGGAAAACCTTGAATCGTGACTTCTAACCTCGGTTTGGTGAAGGTTTGTGATTTTGGCTTTCAGCTCTGATGCACCTTCAGGTCTGTTTGGATATCTTTGCATTTTGTAGGAAAGTCAAAACACATGCAGTGCACACCGCTGGAGCCATAGTAAGCAGCTGTTTGCTATCTTAGTAGCTTAGTTCTCTTGGGCTACAGTTGCCAGCGATACTGAAAATAGTCAATCTGGGCATTGCACTGAGGGAAATTCAAGACTTAATCACTGGTGAGAGCAGTGATCATTGATTAGATTTTAGTTTCCATGTTCAAATCCAGAAGCTGCTGCAACAGCAACAGAATATAGTGATGTAAGTAGCTGATAATATCGCAGGAAGTCTCTCTGTGCATTGCTATTTCTGTAAGTGTTTCCAATTATAGTTACACCTAATTTATGATCGTTTAGCACGACACAAACTGAAACCAGTGTGGCTTCAGCCTGATTTTTGTTTATGCTAATGTGCATTCCAGTAAGAGATTTGCATTGTTCTTGGTAACAGGCTTCTGATCATACTACATCGAGTGCTGGGAGGAGCTTTGAGTTGTTCATTTGTTTTTATGTTTTCTCGTTTTGTATCAAATTTAACTCTAAAACAATATATGTCACATGTACATTCTTCCTTCTTACAGCCTGGTTTTGTGTGTGGTTTACTGTCTGTGTGTAATAATATTGCTGGAGTCTTTATTAATCAAATTAGACCATATCTAAACTCATATTTATCCAGATTGGAACCCAGGAATGTATAAGTTGTTTTGCTGGGAGCAATAGTAAAACATAAAACATAAAAAATCCCAAATACCTCAGTCTCTCATCTGGGTATCTGTGACTTAGGGAGTGATTTTAGGTGGTCCTTGTGGTTTTTAGGACTCAGTCCAGTGGAGAGGATCTCCCAATACATAAAAGTCTAACAAAGATGAAGACATTTATGGCCTGATGAGGTTGAAAAAGCTTTTGATTACTGTCTTTATTATGTAAGGAAAGGAAAAGTGAAGTGCGTTTAGCCTAAAGTAAATCTCGGGCGATTTTGCTGAGCTTGTTTACCTTCTCCTCAGGTTATGCTGGTGGAGCAGGGAACTACATGGGAGCAAGCCTGGGCGCTTTGGGTTATGGAGCAGGTAATGCTGGGCAATGACACATAATTCACGAAGACTAGCTGCTGTTTTTAGCAGATGGAGAGGTAGGTTTACAACTTTGGTAAAGACTTCCGATGTGTTGCCAGCAGGGTTGGGACAGGGAGCGTATCTGGGTGGAGCAGCTGGAAAACTTGGAGGTATGCATGTAAATTTTCCTTATTTTGTCTTTTCTTTGCTTGGAGATAAGAAATTATGCTTTGCATCTCATATTCTTTCTTTCTTCCTGTTCGTGTGAAATAAATTTTACATTTTAGCTGCTGCTGCACTTGGGCAGGGTGGTTATCCCCAAGGTGTCGCAGGAAAGTCGCCTGGTAAGGCTGTAACATATTTATTTGGTCTCTGTCGGCATCTTTTCCCCAGGCTTCACTGAACAGTTTAAAACTTTTAGCAGACTGCTTTCTTGGCCTGCTAGATAATAATTTGGATGCAATTTGAAAGCATCTTTGGGTCACAGTTACACTATCTGAACCAAACTACTAGGCCAGCTTACTCGTTACACCGACAGGAGCTGCTCAGCCATAGACACCCAGGACATGAAGATGCCGGCACACAGTTTTTGTGTTGCTCTTCATTCCAGAGGAGGTTTGGACCACTGTAGTTAAGTCAATAGAGATGTGGTGATGTTTATTCAAAGATCAAGAGGTGTGGCCCGATCCTTGTATGCATGGAACACATGTAGGCAAGGAAAAACATTTCTGTTGGAAGCTTTCTGGTCTGGTTTATAGTCTGTTTTCACACCAAAATCTGTTGGCCAGTCACAGTTGCACAGTCTTTGGTTATATGCAGGTAAATAGTTCATGTATAAAACAAAAGAAAACGTGCATTTGCTGACATGCAAGCTACTAGCCACTGACAATGATCTCACGGACATGCCCCCAAACAGGCCGTTGTCTCACCAGACTAGCCAGTAAATGCTTGATAAGGAAATACGAAGTAATTTGCCTCCTCGAATTTTGTTTTTAAGGAAGTGAATGGAGATAAGGCCTCGAAGCCAGACAGCATAACTCCTACTTTGCCTTGTAAACCAATCATTTGCTTGTCAGTTGTATGTGAGGAGGTAAAGAAAAAAATCTCTACCTTACGTTCAAGGTCACACCAGAGGTTTCCTTTCAGATGAATGATTAATAAGTAAGAGACAAAAACAAGTAAAACAATCAACGTGTCAGCCATCTTTAAACTCTCCTGTTAATATACAGTTGTTCTGTTTTACATGCAAGAAAAAAGACATATTTATGTAAACTTCAGTCATGTAAATCTATATAGAGACTTAAATCTATACATCATACTCATCATCCCATTAAGTAAACAGTGAATGTGTGTTATTACAGGTTATGGTGATGGAGCAACTGGATATCTTGGTGCTGTGGCAGGGAACGGCTTGGGTAAGTTCAGCAAGTTAGAGAAGTATACATCAAAGAGTATTTACACTGAGGAAAACTTTAACCTGCACTGGCAGAGAATCATTCGTCACTCTGCTTGGTGTCAAAGACAGCCCGCATCAAAGCTCCCACTGACCGAGCTGTTGATATTCAGTCAAGATGGACTTTTTCTTTGTTGCTGTTACTTTTGTGTTTCACTGTAGGCTGAGGCAGATTTGCAAAAGCTTTGTCTGGCACGATCACAGACTTGAATTCCCCCCCCCCTCTCTTTTATGTATAACTGCAATCTTTTAAGTGCTTCAACATCTCTCCTCTCAACAGGTTACGGGAATGGTGACGGCTATGGAGCTGGTGAGTGAAGCCTGAATATTACTGGAGCAAAATGTGGTGTGAAACTCAGTCTAGCTCTCGACATATACAACATAATTAGTGCTAATTAGTACTATGTTTCAGGGCTTGCTTACCCTGCAGAGTTAGCCGATGGTGCTGAGAAAAAAGCAGGGAAGAGCGAAGGTAACAGTTCTGAGGAGCGATAACCTGCTTAAAAAACCCGCGAGGAGTGATGGCACTAACCTTTAGAGGCTTAACCCATGATACTGGATAGCTTGACAAAGTAGATGTCAGTAGAAACGGCTTCCTCTAATATGCTCAGTGTGATTTTTTTCATCCACTGGGTGTAGCTATTGTCTCTGATTTATTGAAGCTGACCAGTTAAATCTGGTGGTTTCTGCCCTCCTGCTCCCGTAGATGCTTTTAAAACTAACAACTAGTTAATCGGTTGAATCGATTAATGACACAAGAATGTTTGACCTGCGTGTTTATGTTTGTCTTTTTTCAGCCCTCAGTCCTGGAGGCTATGCTGGACAGGTCCAGGGGGGCTATGGTAGGAGATTTAAGGAAACTCTCTCACATAAACCAACAAAAGTAAACAGAAGGGCCCGAAAGCATTCGGTTATAGAATATAAAGCATCTGTTCTCCTCCAAATCTGTTTGAATTTCAAACCAGTAAACACCCTGCATGGAACATAAGCCTTGCATTTACCAGCAAGGAGTCATGCCTACATGTGCTTTCTGCGACGTGTGAAGTCTTGACTCAAAAAGCCCTCTTGTCCTCTTTCAGGAGCTCTTGGGGCCGGCCTGGAATCAACTGGTGGCAAATATGGTGAGCAACGGTGACAGCACCTCGCCCTTCAGTCATGCTATTAGTCAGGCAACTGTCAGTGTGGGTTTCCACACGTGACTCAGACTATAGTGGTGGAGAGTGCACAGCTTGCTGATTAATCATGGAGGTTGAAGGGTGAAGAGAGAGAGATGACGATGCATGAGTCAGATTGACCATTTGATTTTCTTCTTCCCCCTGCAGGAGGAGGAGCTGGTCAGGCTCCTTATGGTAATGCCCCAGTGCTTCCTGCTGGACTGGAAGGTAGTCGATACATGAGCTTGATATCATAGCTGCAACAATAATCATTGCAAAATACCTGCGCCACACAACATTGGATATTATATCAAACTTTTTCAGATTAGTGCATCACATCATAGGAAGATATTGTATGTCCTTTCACGCTACACTAAACACTTGCAGGATATTGTCTACATAGAGACATTTTTGTCCTGCACTAAAGAGGTTTTTTCTTGTCAAATGGTACAAAATAACAGGAAAATGCTCATATTTTTGTAATATAATGTAACACAGACTTAGTGACTTTATTACAAGTAGATGAATGCGGCTTATTCTGAGTCCTGCAGACTAAAGAAAAAAAAATCATAGACTGTAGATAAAAGATGGAAATAGATGTAGCCACCCATTGTTTTCTGGACACATTTTGAAGTCTCAACATTAGCATCGTCCCCATTTTGGCGTTTTGGGGCCAGAAGCTAGGTTATATGCTAATGCTAGCAAGCATAGCTTGCAATAAGTACACAGGCAGGTATCTGTTTATTAGTGCTAAATAACAGGCTAATAAAATGCTAGAAATTACCACGACCACAGACTTATTGGACCAATATAATTTATTCTGCAAGTTATACATTTTTAAAGCGAAATCTGTTAAAATTACTTCAAGAAAACAATCCTGTTAGCAGAGATGAGGCTCAGTAGGCAGCTAACTTCTACAGCCAGCTATCATGATATCCACCTGTCAATCAAAGTGACCATACACTGAACTTGAATTCATTCATTCAATTTTATTGCATTTTATATCACCCAAATGTGCCACAGCTATCTCAAATACCTATATATTACACGTTAAAGACCCTACAGTGTTAGAAATATACCCCAATAAGCACATGATCCCCCTTTGAGCAAGCACACGGCATCAATGGGAAGGAAAAACTCTTTATAAAAATAAAGAGTCTTAATAAATTTTGCATGTCTGAGTTGTGAGACAAGCACGTAAAATGTAAAATTTTGGTAAAGTTGTTCTACAGTCAAGCAGACAATACTACAGCAGTCGGCCTGCAATAAAAATCACGATTACTCACCATTTTTTCATGTTATTTTACATTTGACATAACATTAATGTTTTCACAAACAATTTTTTTATTGATATTTTATGTATTTAAGAATAAAAGTAAAATTCTGTAAAATTTATTTGATAAATTCAGTTAAATTATCAATTTTTTTTACAGTGTACTTTACATTTCTTGATCTGGGCATGAGGGGATGATTTAGATGTAGAGTTCAAAACTGATGAATTTTCTGCTTTCAAATTAGGCTTTTGTTAAATTACAGTCCAGTGGTACTGCTACTGGCTTCAGTTGCTTTGTACAGACATGGGAAAGGTATCGATTACCTTATCAAAGTCTAGAGCGAATAAGCCTTTATCTGAATGGTCTCAACTGTTAGGGCAGCAGCTGCAGCAGTGTTTTAATTACAATGAATAACTGGGTAACTGGTGTAAACTGGAAGTATGAGTATAGTAATAGGAAATAACTCAATAATGATAGAAAGTCTGTTCATATATGAAGATCGTGGGCTTCCCCTTTTGTCTTCGAGTCATTTTGCATCTTGTTATATGAGGATGCTTTTCACTTCACTATAAATTTATAAAGTGAAAAATCCAGTCATGCAGGTTATTGGGACATCATCTTTGTTTGAGGGGTCTCGAAATGCTGCATAAACAATGATCACGCAACGAAAATGAAACTGGCCTAGCCCCAGCCTTGGTATACTTATTAGTATAAAGTATATAAACTAATAAATCAACAAGGCTTACAATTTTCTCATTTTGTCACATCCTGTCAGTTTATCACAGTATTAAAGCTCAGTGAACTGTTAAATAGTCACATTTAACCAATTTCTTTCATTGCCCACAGGTGATGGCGGCTATCCGTATGCTGCACAGCAGCTTGGTCTTGGTGCTGAAGTTGCTAAATCTGCAAAATATGGTGAGGAAAAAAAGCGTGAGAAACTCTAAACTCTAAAGTTACCATGCGGCCAGATAAACTGTGTCGTTTTGGTTTTCTTTTTTCCTAGTTCAGTACCAATGAGGTCAAAAGCCTCAAAGATAGTGAAAAATAAAACTCATCAGAAGCATTGTGAGTGCAGATAAGCTGCAGGGCTGTTTCTATGTGATCCTGCCTCATATTGACTCTTTATCGTTGCCCCTTCTCTGTGCTGTTTCAGGCCCTGGTGCAGGATATGGAGCTCAACAAGCAGGTTCAATTTAATGCACTCTTTCTCTCAAAGTACTTCCAGTGTACTCCTAAATTCTCAGAGCGTACTCCAGGCATGTTTGCAGATACGTACGTCCCCAGTCCTGGCCTTAAAAGTGTCATTTCTGTTGTGTGTGTTTTATTAGGGTTCGGTGCACAGCTAGGGCCAGCTCAAGATGCTTTGGGTAAGAAAACCACCAACACTTCCTCATTTGTGATGAGCTACCACTACTGCTGCTTCTAGTTACCTTATGAGTCACGTCGTTTTGCACAATATCGCAGCACAACAGACAACATACAACAGATGCTACTGTGCTGAAAAATGCCTTCATATGTAATAATCACGTGATTTTGCATGAGTCAAAATATTAGCGTCCTTTACTTGGATTCTTTTTAAATAAGAATAGAAACACAAATGTGATGCAGTTTAAAAAAAAACCTTATTCACTGTTATTCTTTTTACTTAAGTAGCTTGCACACTGAAAGTGCAGCTGCATGTATTATGCATTATATCCCTCTTTAGGAAGGGTATGTGACCTGCATAGTGTGATAGCTGAGTCCTCTAATGCTACTTTTTTTTGCCAGGTTTAACACATAGCTGTTGGATTTCTTTGTCTCAATGTAACAGTTTCGTTTTTAGTGAATTTGTAACACTGACCTGTGCCGATTGCTTAACAGGAGAGCAGACTGGCAAATATGATCGAGTGAATGCTGCCCTGGGTAACGGATACAAAGGTGAGAAATAGTGCACGAAGAGTTAATACACTTTTTCTTGTTTTCTATCATATATTTACTGTTACAGTCGTATTAAACATGGTCAAAATAATAATCCCTGTGAGTCAAAAGCTCAGGTCTCCCGCTGGTTTGTGAGAATTTCTTTCTACTCTTTGATCTGTGTGATGTCAGAGAGTGGATATCCCCAGTATCGTCATCTCAGACGCAAATCTGCTGTTGCCAGGGGTTGCCAGCTAAAGTTGGCTTAAAGCGAGAGGAGCGCCTTCTCGTCCTGGCATGTGCTATCATGTCCTTTGGCAACTGAGAGATAACAACAACTTTGTTGAGATCTTCACTCTGCATTAGGTCGCTTGAGTTGTCACACGTTTGACTATAGTTAGTGTCCCTTTGTCTGACCTTTTTCTCTTAGAGATATATATTTAGTTCATTTAGTTTATTTCAAACCCTGAAATTAAGCTACCAAATACTACTCACTTAGTCTTAGGGAGTGAAAAAAAATGGTTACACTCAGATAGAAAGGCTGGTTTAGGTACCTCTTCAGAAAAGGGCTGCTCACTGAACAATAATAGATTGACAGACCAGTCTAACTAATGCCATACCCGTGGCTAACTGACAAACCAGACAGGAAAACGAGCCCATCCGCTTGCTATCTAGATTTTCTGTCTGCCACTGGCAGCCAATAAGATATAAATTGGCTTAAGTGGACGGTGGCCTTTAAGGCGGAGGTGGCTAAAACTGCTTCTTCTGCTGTTTTCAAACATACACTGCTGCTCTGAACTATACTGAGACAGAGGCGAATCACCACTTTTCTTCTACGTCTTGTGAATGCTTTCTATCTAGCACTCACACACATTCACTCTCCAATAAACACATCTGAACTTGGGGTTCAGTATCTTACCCAAGAATACTTTGGTCCTCCTGAGCTACAGTACGCTGTCCTATTGTCCTATTACCCAAGCCTCGCTGCCACCATCACGTGTGTCACCTCTTGCATGTTTACCCAGAAAGCTAAACCACAAGCCGTATTCGAGAGTGTATAATATTTATTGCTGGGTGTTGCATGTGAAAAAGAACAGCTGCGCAACAAAATCTGAACCTGCTTAGTTTGTAACGGTACAAAGGTCATGGGTGAAAACTTTAGCTGTTAGACAGCGGATGAGCACCAAGATAAAGCATAAGATACATAAGGATTATTTCGAACTGTGAATTATGCAAAGCTACTCTAATAGAGTCCAATAATAACCTTAAGGGAAATGAGCACAATAATTCCCTTTATTAGTATCAGAATCAGAATATTTTATTGTCATTAAGACAAAAGCAAATGCTGATCCATTCAGTGCAAAGAAAACTGCATAACTATTCGTAAACTTGTATTCTATGTACAAGAAAACAAGTTTTAATAAAGAAAGTATAAAATGGTATAAAAGTATGAATAAATAAATCTGTACACATATGTTTATGTTTGTGATTGAGTCATTATTAATTATCGTTATTGAATATGTAGGTTTATATGGGTTTGAAGGTGAAAATTAGACATAAGATGGGCTTGTTTTGTACATTTTTCACACATTTTTTGTGTGATTAATGATTCTCTTCCGTATTAACGATCTTTGTGCTCTCCCCTTTTCCTCTGTGTCTGTGTCTAACCAGGCTAATTCTCACCACATTGACCTCTTCAAGTGGATCGTTACCATAAAGCGTTCAGTCCAATGAGGTTGCAGAGATTTTCTGTGTGATTTACTCTACTTTGTTATGTTGTCATGTCTGTATGTCTTTTGTTTCATTCTTCTCATCCACCTTGTCCTTCTCTGTGAACGGACATCTGTAAACCAGATGTCTGTCTGCTTGTCTCCCTCCTCTCAAACCTGCAGCACCCACGACTTTGTTCCTGGCAGTGCTAAAAAGGCTTGGTGGTGATTGATAAACATAAATGGATGTGAAATGCAAGAAATATGTCCCTTTGTTTTGGAATAATGATTTGTTCTGTTTTAATCCAATAAATTATATCACCCAGTGACGCTAAATAGAAGCTTCTGACTCAAAACATTTTGCGTGCGATAGTGTGCTCTTTAATAGACACAATGAAACCTCATCCGCACACAGGAAGTTTTACCACTTCCCTTTTCGAGTTAGGTGACATTGCCAAAGAAAAAGTAAACACTACCACCAAAAGCAGGGTGAAATATCGACAAGAACAAAGTGTTCAGATATTACATGTTTATTGTGCATAATAAAGCTCCATTTATAGTGAGAATAAAACACATATGGTATATTGGAACATTGTGCAACTGACACATAAACTGCTGCAAAATGAATGCAGGAAAATTCATTTTGCTAATGATGTAGGTAAAATCATAATTAATGAGGGATAATAACATTATAAATTAAGGTTGAGCCGGATTAGCAGAAACTTTTATATGATCTACAACAGACATGGCTACATAATGTCTTCATATCTAACTGGCTTTAGGGAATACAAATGCATACATCCATAAACATCAACATGTTTATTAAATGTATTTGAATATATTAATCCAGTTTTCTGACATCTAGAACATTAAAACATTGCACAAATGATCCCATATGGAGAAATATTAGTGACGGATAAGGTATAGTCTAGAAATTGCAAGATGAAAGCAATCGAAGCCAAATCTCTTCTGGTTAGGTTTTCAAGTGAATCCTGAGATCTGTTTTCAGTCCTGAAAAACAGACAAACAGATAAATAACCAAACAAATCAATACATCACCCCCTTTGGCCCAGGTAGAAATAATCTTTCCTTTTAAGTCTTACCAAATTCGTAAGTCGTGTTATTTTATGCCATACTTGAAGCTCTTGCGAGCAAAACTCTGGTTTTTCCATGAGCTAGATTTGTCCACAAACACGCCCATTTTTGACAGGAGGGCCGGTGGAATAGGATGAGCGTTGCGTGACACATACAGCTTTTTCAGACTTGGATTAATAGGAGTGGGTTTATATTCCGTGCATGACTTTCCAGTCAGACTCGGAGCACATTGCACTTCCACTTTGTAGAACAGCTGGCCGTGCTGCAGAGGACAGAGATCGGTTGTAACTCCAGAAGTCAAAAGTGGCTCACATTCTCCCAACAGGTCATCGTCCCACTTGCTGTCCTCGTCCCAGACTTCAAATCTGAATTTGGTAATTGACGAGACATCCTGCGTGCCCAGGTCAATGACCGCGGCCCAGTGTGGGTTGTTGTTGTTATAAATGACAGGAGTACGCTGAGCCACTGTTCCAGCAAAGTGCACCTTCACATAGCCATCTGTAGCTGTGGTGTGGTCCCCCCACAGATCAGTGGCCCGCTGTACTGTTATGATGACCCGTGCCATACCTTTACGAGCTGGGCAGCAGTCTCGGGTCACGGCGGGGTCATTGTGGCACTGGCAGACGCAGGAATCCCTCGAGTCACTCTTAATCCCAGCCTGACAGCCAGCGCTGCAGTTTCTCCACAGGCCTTTCTCCAGGATGTAATGGCTAATGGCAGAGCGCAGGTTTTTCCGGGCTTTGGCTGTGGTAGGAAGCAACTCATGAAGGGAATTTAAGGAGTATGAAATGATATCTGGATTTTTTGGTAGGGTTTCCAGCCATTCCTTGTAGGCAGCTGGATTTTTGTCCGCAGAGAAGAGAAGGTCTGTGTCTGTGGTATGCCCACCTTTTATATCTGTAAACCTGCAAAAGAGGGGACTATTTCAAACAGATGTGCC